TAAAGTCCAAGGCAACCCTCCTGCGGTATCCGGTGAGGTTAACCTACGAATCCTTTCAACCCGCCCTCTCAAACGAAATGAAAGGTACGCCAGTATCAATCTAATAAGGGATTCTTCGAAACCCAGTTTCTCTTCAATACTTTGATCTATTAGGATGTTAATTTTGAACATTCCAGCTCATTCTACACTCACGAATTTCGATAATAAGTGCTCTGCCTGTGTTACATCATTGCTTCATGGCTTCTCTACAAAGCACTCGACTGTCCTCAGTATAGGGTATGTCTTGTCAACCGATCAGCATGATAACTAGACAAGGATACGAGGTCAAAGCCGAGACGCCAAAGTTACACATAGTTCATAAATCCCTCTTACCACTCAACAGTCAGTGTTGCGTCTGCCGCTGGCTGTACCTGCACCTCGAAATAAATCGGTTGACCTTCGTCGATCTCTCCAACTGGTTGCGGCTGGAATAGAATGGATGGTGGGCCGTGATGCATCTCATCGTCAATGAGCTGTCCACGGGCGGCGTTGAGATTGGCCTCAAGTTCATCTATAGCCTGCAGGCCTAGAAACAAAATCATACAAGTAAATTTATGCATTCATGCACACACACAAACGCTCATGCACACATATAGGCGCAAGAAAAATTTTGTAATAGAAAGAGACAAATGAATGCCGACAAAGTTACGTGGTCAACTGCCTTATGCTATGTCTTAGGCTTGCAACCATGCCAGTCGCTTGATACGACTCCAGTGCCATACTGGAATGTTATAATTCCAAATTGCGATATAAATTGCAAACAACCCATCGTCAAATAATCTACGTTGCAAAGAGTTAATTTATATACAATAAAAACACAAATTCGAGCCAGTCTAGGCCCAAAAATAGGAATGAATTTAGAAAGTGATTCCGAAGATGCCATGTTTATGTAATATATATGAAATGTATTTACCCAATTTGGTTAAGATGATAAGGGGACTGGTAGTTAAGTTTTCCCGCAATTATATGAGTAGACCTTACGTTTCTATTGAAATTCCGCATTGTTTTGCTTCCAAAAAGGTATTCTCATCCAGGCTGGACTGCCATCCAGGGCG